AGAAGATACTTTTTCTTTGCCCTCTTCCCTTACAGAGACGGAGACAACTGAGACGTGAAGAAGACGTGTAGAACTGCAATATAGAACACTCGCAGTGGTAGAGGCCGGAACGGGGCTTACTACCGGAGGAAATCTGGACGCTCGATTGGCCGTGGCCATCTCCTGTCCTGTGCAAACTGACTGACTGACTGACTGACTGGTCATTCGAGCCAAGTGCTTCGCAAGTCGCGTAATACCTTACTGGAATAGTCTTCCAGAAAAGGTGGTAAGTTGCTCGAAAGTAATTGCCATCAAGAGGGCATTAGATGACTGTTGGTCTTCTATCTTCCCTGAAACATCTTGTTGGTAAGTACCTATTATTCCTGAGCGCCATTGCCCAGGACGTGATACTGCACCTTACTTTCTGCCTTTCAGAAAAAAACTGTTGACTCGCAGTGTTGGAAGCCACAAGAACAGCCAACAACACATCAATCTGAACGCAAGATTGGTCCGGACCACACATCGTCCTGTGCAAACTGAACTGAACTGAATTGAAAAGTTTTAGGGTCGTGTAAAGTGCGCGTGATACAAATTAAACTTTAGGTTACCGCGAAGATCTGAAAATGCATGTTGTGTTCTTCATCACATGAAATAATTACTTTCTGCAACTTGCGTAGTATCGAAAACTCATAAAAATGTATCCCTCATGGCTGCCTGTTGTCAGGGCTTCCGCAATAGCCTGGACGCCGCTGGTACGGACGCATTTGCCGTATGCTCCAGCCGTGTCGGAGGCATCAGTGATTCAAGATAGGAAGATCATAATCAACGTTAGTGGCAGACGTTTTGAAACTTGGAGATCAACGTTGGAGAAATTTCCAGATACATTGTTGGGCTCTGATGAAAAAGAATATTTCCGAGAAGTCAACACAGACGAATACTTTTTCGATAGAGATCCTGAGTTATTCAGGTTTATAATTGCCTATTATCGTTCTGGAAAGCTCCATCTTCCGAAAGATACCTGTGTAACCGCCTATCATGAAGAGCTGCTGTACTTCGGTATTATGCCTGAAATCATGGGAGATTGCTGTTATGAGGAATACCTGGATAAATATCGTGAAAACAAAGAGCGGCAGATGGAAGATAAAGATGATCATTCAGATGAAGAGACTCCACCGACAAGCTTCCGGGATCAATTGTGGCGTGCGTTCGAAAACCCTCAGATATCAACCCTTGCTATTGTTCTGTATTACGTCACAGGATTCTTCATTGCCGTATCTGTGCTCGCAAACATAACTGAAACTGTCTCCTGTGAAATAAGTGTTGAAACTGGAGAAAGTATACCCTGTGGCGAAAAGTATAACGCAGCGTTCTTCTGTCTAGATACTGCGTGCGTGATGCTATTCACCATTGAATACTTTGCACGGTTATACGCTGCTCCTGACAGGTGTAAATTCGTGAGATCTGTCATGTCAATAATTGATATAGCTGCTGTACTTCCTTATTATATAGGTTTAGTAATGACGAATAACAAAGAATTTTCTGGTGCATTCACAACACTCAGGGTTTTCCGAGTGTGTCGAA